TGTGGTGATATCTTTCATCAGATTACGACATTGTGAAGCTGTACTAACCACACACCAAGACTATTTTCTACTTCACTGGACAAGGATTCACCCACATCAGCAAACCTGTCAGAATATTATAAGAAGTTTGATTGGCGGATAAAAATAAACAGCTCAACACACGAAGACAAACTTTCAGTCTACACGCATCAAAGAGTTGTCCTGTCCTCGAGTCTTTAGGTCCTACAGGACTTTTTTTTTACTACTTGGAAGTTTATGTATTCGTTGATCAGTTTTACTTGTGTAAGATGTAATCAGATGGATATGTAATGTGAACAGGACCTATTTGTTACATTTTATGAGGATATTAGTGACGTCATGACAACGATGACTGCAGGGAAGGGGCGGCCACCGGACAGTCGGATTGTCGTTCTTGGGAACTCTGGAGTCGGGAAATCAGGTGAGTTATCACCCTTGTTTTTTTTCTAACAGCCCATGACTAAACCAAATAGATGAACGGGTGTTTTAAAAAAAAAACAAATTAGGCCGACACGACTAGGCCTCATTCTTGTTCTGGTTTGAGTTTCTGAAGACACAGATATATCTGTAAATCAAGTGGCTTGTGACTATTTAGCATATATTACTCACACTGACAACTTGCACGTGCAATTATGAACCAATCAGCCACGTCGAGGTTTGAAGTTAAAACTGATTAAAAACCTCATTACTCTCGAGTTTTAATTGGTTTTTACAATGTTGGTTGTACCCTGGAAATATTGCGTCTTAAAAAAACACGACAAATTATTTATTTTGCAAAACATCCGAAAGGGGTGATTACTGTTTGTTGGGATCTGGGGGTGGGGGAGGGAGTTAGGCGCTTGTAGTGTTATGGAAGGAAGGCTACCCTACCCCCACCCCCCTTCCGAAAAAATGGGAGAATTTTTGCAATATAAATTTTTGTTTTCAATGTTTAATGTAGATCTATATGTGTGTAGCAAAAAGCCAATTTTCGTAAGGACCAGGGGGCATACCGCGCCCCTCTTCCCCACCCCCCACCCCCAACCTAACATATATTTAAATATATCCACAACACATCCCCCCCCCCCCAACTAAAAACTGTAAGTCTAGATATGCTACTTGACATGGGCTGAGTCTATAAGATTATTAGACGATTAAGTTCCCAAATTTCTTAATGCATTAGTTAGGCCTAGCTAGAAATATTTTTTAACTCAAGCGCCATTTCCCATAATCTATGAATAGAACGTGGGGAGATAACGCAAGCTCCTAGACATCACGTGATAGTTTTTTTTTAAGTGGGTATGTGTTATTATTTAAATCTAACAGCCATCTAAATTTAGACTTTTCCTTCATTAATTAACTCGTGACACGTGACGTGTTTGACCCCCACACTGTACACCAAACCTAACTGTACCCAGTTAATTCAATTACATCAAAACTTGTCACAGCTGAGGAGTCGGTTGAATAAAGCTCTATATAAAGCCTAAAGTCATATTCGAATCCTGCTTTGGTAATCGACTCTCACTGGTATTCGACTGTGTCTGCTAAACTAAGTTATGCGCGCTGGGTTCACCTTCAGTGCATATAAGGAAAAGAAATAGGTTAATACATTTTAATGGAGGTTACTCTATTCTTTAATTTCTAAAACTGAAACGTAAGGTGAAGGGGGGGGGGGAAGCACTACCATCGTCCCGTCCCCGGCTGGTTTACTCGCACCCCAGACTTCTAAAGGCCGCCCCTGTCTACTCCCATCCCAATCCCAGCCTACCCTAGGCCACTGTCTACCCTCACCTCCCCCATCCCTGCCTAACTAGCCCACCCATGCCTCCCCTCACCTCCCCCCATCCCAGCCTACCATAGGCCACTTCCTGCCCCTCACCTCCCCCCATCCCAGCCTACCATAGGCCACTGTCTACCCTCACCCCCATAGCAGCAAGCTCTAGCCCACCTCTGTCTACCCTCACCCCCATAGCAGCAAGCTCAGGGGCCTCAGGGCCCACCTCTGTCTAACTCTAGCCTCACCCCCATCCCAGCAAGCTCTATCCCGCCCCTGCAGTGCATACCCCTGCACCCCCCCCCCCCCCCCCATCCCATGCAAGTCCCGACCAATTAAGATATTTATTTCACAAAAAAACTATTTAGTCTGGGACTCCTGGTACACTTGTGTTGTCTCAAACATTGTGGAGAGAGTAAGTCCCCTTGTTCTGATTCAGCCATTACCCCGACACGAGTTATCTTTCCTTCAGCCCTCTTGAGCCCGGGCATTCAGGGGAAGTAACCAGCAGACATAAATGTTTAGCTCAATCGGACAAATATCTAATTAGCAGATGCCGGTACATTCGTTGTTTTTCTCTCCGTTAAATAAATCTTTGTTCCAGGTTAGACGGAAGCAGACGAGAAGAATGGCGTCTTTATTTTGTAGACATCACTCACACGATCTCAAACCTTTTTTAAAAGCAGCCTCAGTCTTCACTGCTCAAAAATTATTTATTTTGTAAGACAAAAATAACAAATGACTTCAATCGAAGGTCACATCGTGTATCGCGTATTGTCTGATGGTCAAATCATGTCTAAGGGTCACACAGTTTCTGAAGGTCACAATAATGAATGTCAAGGGTCACATCATTTTAGGGTAAAAATTATGTTAGGGTGTCAAATGTTTTTTTTCTTGAGCCAATGCAGAGATACACTTTGAAAAATCTTAACTTCCCAAACAAAAAATTATCCCGATTCCCCCCCCCCCCCCCCCCCCATGTATAAAAAAAACTTAAGGCCAACTGTGGATGAATTCCCCCCCCCCCCACTATTAACCCCCCCCCTCCCCCAAACGAAACTCATCCCAACTGTGGATGAATCCTCCACCCACCATTCCCCTCCTCACCCCCCAACCCCCCCCCCCCTCCCAACCAGCCCTCTCTGTGCACTGAGACCTGTCTAACTGTATCAGCTGCTGGTGACAGACAGGGGCGATAACCTGCACTTAATGACGACACAAGTGAGATAATCATTTACCATTTTTACCCGCATAAAATGCTTAACTGTTCAATATTGAAATTGCGTGAGAGGGGAGGGGGCGGGAGGGGAAGGCGGAAGAGAGGCGTAAGGCATGAGTTTATCTGTAAGAAAACAAATTTGGAACTAATCAAAAAACATTGACGTGTTTACTCAGCAAACAGATTAAATGTGCAAAATGTTGGATTCTATTGGTGTTATCTGTTGGTGTTATCTGTTGGTGTTATCGATGTAACTTGCAAAGATGATGTAGGGAAACATCGGAGACTAACATTATAAAAAGTGCAGGGTTTTAAAATGTGGAGATTTTAAAATGTGGAGATTTTAAATTTTAAAATGTGGAGATTTTAAAATGTATGACGCCAGATTTCCCCTATGTCGCCAGATTCCCCTGTGTGACTCCAGACTTCCCCTGTATGACGCCAGATTCCCCTGTATGACGCCAGATTTCCCCTATGTCGCCAGATTCCCCTGTGTGACTCCAGACTTCCCCTGTATGACGCCAGATTCCCCTGTATGACGCCAGATTTCTCCTGTATGACGCCAGATTTCTCCTGTATGACGCCAGATTTCCCCTGTATGACGCCAGATTTCCCCTGTATGACGCCAGGTTCCCCTTCTATGACGCCAGATTTCTCCTGTATGACGCCAGATTCCCCTTCTATGACGCCAGATTTCCCCTGTATGACGCCAGATTTCCCCTGTATGACGCCTGATTTCCCCTGTATGACGCCAGGTTCCCCTTCTATGACGCCAGATTTCTCCTGTATGACGCCAGATTCCCCTTCTATGACGCCAGATTTCCCCTGTATGACGCCAGATTTCCAATGTATGACGCCAGATTTCTCCTGTATGACGCCAGATTCCCCTGTATGACGCCAGATTTCCCCTGTATGACGCCAGGTTCCCCTTCTATGACGCCAGATTTCTCCTGTATGACGCCAGATTTCCAATGTATGACGCCAGATTTCCCCTGTATGACGCCAGGTTCCCCTTCTATGACGCCAGATTTCTCCTGTATGACGCCAGATTTCCAATGTATGACGCCAGATTTCCCTTGTATGACGTCAGATTTTCCCAGTATGACTCCAGATTTCTCCTGTATGACGCCAGTTTGTGCCGACGCGGCCACCTTGAGTAGGTTAAGTCAATGTTGTCTGCTCTACGTCTGCTAATTGCCGCTGATAACTCAGACACTTATGGCGCAACGGGAGCTGGGCTTGTGGATGGGGGGGGGGGGGGGGGCGGGAGGCTGAGTGCAACATGGAAGGATTGACTACACACCAAAGTGTACTTTAAGAAGACCAGATTTTCAAATGTCTATACAGTCGCTTTGTTAGATCTTAGTCTTATTTAGGGCTTCTTTCAGACATCACTCCATATGATAAGTTGGGGGGGGGGGGGAGACAAAAGATATTTTATATTCAAAATATATACTTCAACCAGTGTACATTACCCCCTCCCCCACTCCCCTGAAAGTTTCATGTGCCTCTCCACTCCCTACAAAAACGTCTGAAAAAAAAACACTAGTCTTATTCTGCTTCAAGATCTTCTTTACAAAGGTCATCAAAGGTCATCAAGATTGCCATCGAGATTGGGCGATTAGTATTTAATAATTACCAGCTGCTAAAATGTATCATCTAATTTCTCATTAAATCGAACCACTATCAACATCTATTTTTTTATCATCATTTGGTGATCAACGAACTACCATCAGCAACCACAACAAGCATCATCATCAGCAACCACTAATTTTGCTACGATCATCTAATTAACCTAATTAGACCATCACCACTAGGGCACTAACTAATCTTGTCATCTCCGCATTTATCGTACAGCAGCCAGCGATGATGTAATATTCCCTCCTCCAATCATCCTCCCCCCACTTGTAGTTGTATGTTTACTCCGCATGTCGTCCTTTCCCCCCCCCTCTCCCCCACACACCTTTTGTTTGTGTGCCACCGGGTACCCGACTTATTTACACCTTCGGGACTAATCAAACTAGTCCAGCTAATTACTCCACCAACTGAGGAATAGGGTGTGAAGCAACAGGTGCGGGGGGGGGGGGGGGGGGGGGTGAAGATCTTATGGGTGCGGTGGACCTCGCTGGATGCAGTGGGTAGTCGTACACTCCGGGTGCTTCACACAGGGTCATTTTACTGGTGGGGCCATTTAGGCTAATGAATTTATATTAGACGTAATTAGTTAATGACACCCTCACTCCCATCTTCCCAGTCATTGTTTACTGCACCCATCGACTCACCCCTATCAACCCACCCTTATCAACTCAGCCCTATAAACTCTCCCCCCCCCCCATCAACCCACCCCTATCAACTCACAAAGGAGGTAGATATGACATCATAACCCGAAGCTTAACCTAGTTTTGCTCTCTCACTTAGCTGATGTGAAACGTCGTAAATGAGTTAAAAG